TTGCTGGCAGAGAAATTTGCTACCGTCGCGTGAAACAGACTGAAATTAATTTAAAAAATTAACATTTCGAAGGTTCTGAGATGTTGTTCAGCACAGTAGTTTCCGCCCGAACATGTTTTTTTTTTTTTATGTGATCAATTTCACTCTTGAATTTCTTCGAAGTAAATCTGCACTTTTGTCGAATTATTCCTTCGAATGCTTGGCTCAAGGAACAACTGTATGTCAGAATAAAGATGTCAGTAAGTATCTCGGAATATTTTTCAGACTTTTTTTAGAAATCGAAAACGTATCAAGATATATCAAAATATTTTGTGCAATTTTATTAATTATTATTTACATATTTATTGTATTATGAATTTCTCATTGGTTTCTTTGACACTTTGGTTATCAGTAGTTTCAATATTAAGGGCAACAATTCTTTTGAAGATGATATTGCGAATCTATCATTTTTTTTATTAACTAGAATTAAGAATTAACAGAGATTATTTGATACTGGTTAAATAAAAAATTAACGAGGATTAGTCAGTCTCAGTTACACGTGGTTTAATAAATAACATGACAAGATTTATTTCTTGCTATCGGCAAAGTCACTCTATTTCTAATTCTGTCAGATTTCAATCGGTACTCGATAGGAAGCGAATCGTTTGAAGCTCTTGAGGCTATAAGAGCGTTGCACAATCGTAAGGCGAGATTTATGGTTGCCTTTTAAGTGCATTACGTTCATCCTATAGAGAAGTATAGAGATGTGAATTGAAAGGTGATTGACTGTTGAACAGTCCGAAAATCGCATAGTTGAGAATATCGGATGAAAATTCTACTTAATATCGAAGATGTTAAAAATATCTTTAATAAAAAAGAAAAAAAACACTGAGCTGATATTGTAATTTTAATAAAGTATCCAGTTTTGAAGTATCTGAAAGATTTGTTCGATTGCTTGTATTCTTTCTTCTTTTCAATGAAGAAAAAACAATGAAACCGTGGACAAAAATAATATGAAAATAAACAAATAATGCAATAAATAAATAAATAAAATTTAAAAACACCATAAATAAATCAATTGGATGTTTTTTCTTGTAGTTATAGATTGAACGATATTTTTAAAAGATACTTTTATTTTAGGTAGTTACGTGAATTAAATCATTGAAATGAAAAATTATTCATGAATAATGGAAATAAAGGAATTTTTAGTATTGTTTTTGAAACTCGTAAATATGTATATGTTCATATATTGAATATTACGCATGACTCTATAAAAATCCAAGTGATTAAAAGTGACAATGTTCAATCAGTTAAATTTTCACAAGTTTATTATTTGTCATTTCCATTAGTTTAAAATTACAAATAAAAGCAATGTCATTCCCTTCATATTTTCACGTATTATCGAAAACTTTTAATTTCATTTATTTTCGAACAACGCAGCAAACTTCGTTTTTCCAAAATTTGCTTCGTACGTGCACTGACTATGAATGTATATTTTTATTAAAACAAAACTTCCTTTTTTCCCCTTTTAATCATATAAACAAATTCTCAGTAAAAATGCATGTCAAGGATTCAATTCAAAGTTGAATGTAAATCGTGCACACGTAAATACAGGAATTATATCGAATTGCTGCATAAAGGACTTCCTACTGAATGTAAAATGAAATTCTTATTATTCCCAAAGTAATTGTTTCAAACCACGGAAATGTAAAACAAAGATAATTAAATTAACCTCGTCGTAACGATACCAATAATTCGAGATATGTTTTATTTCACGATATTAAATGGTGCTATACAAATGTCGTTCTGAATAGCAAATTCAACTCCAATCCAATTATTACGTTCTTGAAAATTGTATTCCTATCATAATAATTAATATTTATCGATCGAAATTGTTATCCATTGCATAATATTAATAAAATAGTCACTATTTAATTGATATTGTCGAGACAAGTTGTTTACTAAAATACTTAACTGTTTATTAAAAATCTCGTTAAAAATATTTATTATTCCTTTTTGATACGAAATTATAGCTCGTATTATTAAACTACTAACTGAATAAAATTCTCTTCATTATTTGTTTCAAAAAAATTAAAGAAAAAAAGACCAATTAATTAATTAATAATGCACTCTCGCTGGAAATTTAGTTTTTGCCAGATAATTGAATTTCAAATTGCCATTATCCGTTCTACAACTTTCTGTCACATTTTGCAAAGTCTTCGTTACGCAAAACATTATTATTTCGAAACAGACACGACAGATTAACTTCTTCACTCTTATAAATTTCGCGATGAACCTTCCCCTTCCATCGTTCATCGAT